TCTCTCTCTCTCTCTCTCTCTCTCTCTCTCTCTCTCTCTCTCTCTCTCTCTCTCTCTCTCTCTCTCTCTCTCTCTCTTGTTGCTGTTTTCTTAAATCATTTAACTCTCTAATCAATTTGCTATATTTCCCTAGAGTATCCTCGTGACTGATGTTTATTTCGTTTAATTTTCCATTAAAATAATGAGTTCTCGCATGAGATTCATTGGTTCTATGTTTGCTTAAAGCAAAGTTAATTTCTTGAAGTTTCTTCTCGTGGTCATTAATTTTTTTGATTTTCTCTAAATCTTTTTTAATCTCACTCAAGACACCTTCTCTTCGGTTACCTTCAGGGAAATAGCGACCAAATGCCCTTAATTCCTCTTGCTGTTTTTCTTTTTTGCTATCAACCATAAACCTAAATCTTATATTATAATTTTAAAAAAAAGATTTGTGTGCCGGATTTATTTAGTTTATTTAGTATCTCCTGTCTTCTTTAATAACTATTTGCCATAAAGCATAAACAGCAAAAACTATTAAGATATTTTGGAGAGTGAAAAACTCCATAATTGTTCCTTTATCAGAGGAACCCGAACCAACAGTAGTAATGTTTTTGTTATTGTCTTTAATTCTTTCCTCGATTTGTTTAATTGCGTTAATGATACTATCTCTTTCTTTTTTATCATCTTCTTGTTGGTTTAGAAGAACTTGCAATCGATTTTTCCACTTTTTCCTATCTTCATCCGAAAGATTAGGGTCTTTGGATTTTCTTGTCGCCTCTTCTATCTCTTTGTCTCTGTTTTTAATCTTTTTTTCTATCTCTTGGAGTTTTTGATTTTCCTTGATTTTTTCTGCCTGAAGCTTTTCATTATCTTTTTTTAGGGTTTCAATAGTTTGGCTTTTCAGTTCTAAGTCTTTGGCTTGGTTTTTAACTTTCTTTTCTTCTTGTTCGACTTTATTCCCGATTAAATGACCAGCCACACCGCCTCCGACAGTAGCAATCAGTAAGGGGGCAGCTGCTCCGCCAGTGGCAATTACGCAAGCCGCTCCTACTACACAGCCGACACAAGTGCAGATGTTTTTAAATCAACCCATGGTTAGTTATTGCCTCCTAGGTTTTTATTGTTTTCTTTCATATTTGTTTCTATTTGTTTTTTTAGGGTGGCGAGTTGGCTGGCGAGTTCTTTTAATTGCGTGTGATACTGACCAATCTGTTTGGCTCAGGATTTAAGGGCTAGTTTGGCGTTAGTGATTAGGTTTTCGGTTTGGGTTATTTGGTTTTGGATTTCTTTATTCATAATTTTAAATTTTCTGTTTTTAATATCAGCTAGGTGGGCTTCTTCTCCCGCTATTTCCCATATTATTTCCTATTTGCTGGATACGGTCTCTGATTTCGCCCATGATTTGGCTGAGGGTGTTGCTCATGGCAGTTTGGCTACTTTGGATGGTTTGTCTAGTTTGATTAGCGGTTTGGTTAAGCTCATTGAGTTTGGTTTCAAGGGCTTTACTGATGTCTTCGCTGATTTTGTTGGCAGTTATTATTAAGTTATTTCCTATTACTTCTGTTGTTTGTTCTATTTTTGGTTGCCGGGGATTGATAAATTTACCCTCAAAGCTTTCTAACTGCTTGCTATCATACAATCGCCAAAAGAATTCAAAGAATTCTCCCCATTTAATTTTTACCTTTTTTGGTGGCTGATTTGGTTGTTGATTACTATTTTGTTGCTGCCTGTTGCCTTGGTCTTCTTTCTCTGGTTCATATTCAGCATTTGGATTATGACCAATAAAGGTATTTCAGAATGGCAAAAAGTCTTTATCAAAGATTATTTTGTTGAAACGATTAACTCACTGATTATCTTCATCATTAAGCGTTTTGTTTTCTGTTCAGTGAGCAGGGAACTGACTGCTAATGCCGGCACCGTCGGAATATCTTAAAAATTCTGCTAATGTTCAACTAAAGCATAACTGATTAGATAGACGACCCGACTGATAAACCGCAATATCTATTTGATCCAAGTGGTTAGTGGCGGCAATTCACAGGTTTTGAGTTTCATTAATTCTATTATCACCACCCATGCATTCTTTGAGAAAAGTTAATTTAGTAGGCTCTTGGAGTAATGTGCTGGTATTGATTTGATTTGCTTCATCAATGAAGAGAATATATTTAACTTCACCATTTTCTTCTCTTTCAAAACCAAAATCATCCACTAAAGTATGGTCAATATCGCACAAAGTAAAGACAAATTTTGTTAAAGGGTCGATTTTTGAGCATCATAGTCAGCTTTACGTGGAGTTAAAGCAGAACCTTGAATCACCACTAACGGATACTTATTAGCCTCATAAGCTAACTTTTCTGCCATTACTGATTTACCTGTTCGTGGAGCACCATAAAAAAGGGCGTTGTTGTCTAATTCATTGGATTGAGTGTCTAGTTTTCCTCTCGTGGGATTAGGTTTTACTTTGCCTTCTCAATCTTCAATTAGGCGACTAAATTTATAATCTTTTACTTCATCTCGTAGTTTAAGTTCTTCTGCTTTGGTATGTGTTTTTTGCTCTTCGGACAATTCACCTCAGAGAGAAGGAGAAAAATAAATTTTATAAGAAGCAGACATATTGAAATATGGTGGTTCTTGTCCAAGTTTTCTAGTAAATTCAGTTCATGTTGTAATGAAATCGGCTTGTTTGTTCATTAATCATCTGTCAGCTCAACTTTGCGGTTTTCTTTTTCAATGCAATCTTTGTCTTTTAAATCTTTCTTGTTCGATAAGCTCAGTTACTTTTTCTTTAATGTCTTCAATGTCTTTCGGGGAAGCTTTATTAATCTTTCCGGTAAATTTTTCGATGATTTTTTTAATTTTAGGTATTTCTAGTTCTTCTTTGGTGCAAACCAGGTTTTTTAGATTATCAATGGCTTCTTCACGCATTTTTCTTGGTCTATCTTTTTCTTCTTGCCCTAATTCTTCTGCCTTCTTTTCAATGGCTTTGAGCATTTTTTCTTCAAAAGCTTTTACTTGAGAGGGCAAGTATAATTCATTTAAATAGGCTTCTCAATTTTCTGCGTCTCCTCAAGGTTTTTTCTTCTCTTTATTTATTAGGCTTTCGGGTAAGACGTTTCAATTGTTTTTAAATGCTTCGTTGATTTCTTCTTTCGTTCGATTTTTCTCTTCGGGCAAATATCCTAAAAAGTAATAAGCTAAGCCGCCAATGAGAATTAAAGCAATGAGCATGGTAGCCTGTTGTTGCTTTTTTCTCTTTTGGGCTTGGAGAGCTTGCGGGCTTTGGTTTTCTTCGTAATACATGGTTTTATTCTCTAAGTTTCTTTAAGGTTTCCATTCTTCGGAGCATTCTTTCTTCTAGGGCTTGTTCGGCTTTTAGTTTTCTTTGGGCTTGGCGGTCTTGGCTTTCGCGAGTGAGGTAGTAGATGGCAAAAATAAGGAAAACAGCAATGCCAATTAAAGCTAATCCTCTTTGCCAAGGCTCTAAATTAGTGTAATTTGGGCTATAATCTAGTCAAAATTCTTGGGCTTTGTTTTCCAACTTTTGAGTTTGTTCACCAAGTTTGTTCTTTAACTCGGCAGTATTAAGGTTAAATTGTTTTGTCATACTTTCACTTATAAATTAAGCCCGCAATGGCTTTCAAGAGTTCCCAAATTGCCGGTAAAAAAATAGGCAAAAAGGCTACTCCGTATCAAAAACCTGTTCAAAAATCGTTCATAATTTACTCCTTTTTTAGTAAGCATATTCGTCATAGTCTCTATAGCGTGGTCGGTCAGGGTCTTTTTGGTTCATTAGCAAGAAAAGCACTACAATCACCGCTATCGCTATCAATAACATTTGCTGATTATTCTGTTCAGATTGTTTTTTCTTTCTCGGAGGACGTTTATTGTCATCATCGTTGTTATTTCCGTCTCCTTTTTTATCGTCGTCATCATCCGAAGAATCATCAGGCTTTTTTGGTTTTCTTGGCTTGTCTGGGTCTCCTTCACCACCGCCGCTCCCTGAACCACCTTTATTGTTTCTCTCAATGGCTTTTTTCATCCCCTCAATCATTTCTGAAACATACTTTGAAGCATTAAATTTTATTGGAGAAGTAGGAATTGCATTTTGTTTTCTTAGATTTTCTTCTAATTTTTTGCTGTCCTCGTCAATTAATTGTAAAAACTTTGCGCGTTTAGTGGGGTCTTTTTCGTTCATTGCTTTGCGTTTATTTTCTTGCATTCTGGCTTCAATTTTCTTTTGTTCGAGTTTTAAAATCCTTAACTCCTCAATGTGTTGATACTTTTCCATTCCTAATTGACTCTTTAAATTTTCCAACATTCTTCGACCATCTTGCATTTTATTCTCGATATAAGGACTCATGGCTTGGTCGGCCCAAATGATACAGACACCAAACATGGAGCTGGAATGACCTGTTCTGGCTCGTAATCCCGAAGAGATTTCATTTGCTTTGCGAATATAATCAGCTTTTTTGGATTCGTATTCTCCTTGGCTGGTGCATTTGTTTAATTCGGCTTTGATTTTTTCTCCATCTAGGCTTTCCAATTTCTCAAATCCTTTCGCAATAGTGCCACAGTCCTCGCGTAAATTATGCGAACCTCCTCAATCACAACGACCGCCAGTTCAATAACCAGCATCGTTAGCATATTTTGAATCAGTTCGCATACCAGCTAGTCCGCTGAATTCGTTGTATAGGTAGTCGGTAGTATATTTAGGCATGGTTAGGATTTTTCTCCTTTCTAAGGTTAAGTATAGTTATTGTTTTCATAGTTTTATTTCGTAAATCAGGGTAAGCAAAAGGGCAAAAAAGCAAAGCAAACAAGCGACATTTTTATCATTTACACCACCCCTCCCCAATCCTTTCCTTCCACTCCCATCTAAACTCTTGG